CACTCTGCCAGCCCCCCTTGATTAATCACAGGCTGGGGCTGCCAGCAGCTTATCTTTTGCTTTAATAGCTGAATAATTTAAAACTGCTGTTTGCTGGCATCTTAATTGCTTTTGTGTCAGGTGCAGGGCCAGCGGGAATGCAGAGCGGGGCCCGGGAGGCTCTGCATGGCACCGTGGGGACACAAGCCTTGGGTTTCCCAGCTAGTGGCTGTCCCCAGGGAGTGGGGCTGGCACAAGGCGTTTTGCTGGGAAGGTGGTGAGATGGAAAGCCACCTGTCCTCGGCAGGGGCTGTGTCTGCCCCAGAGCAGATGGGGACAGTGAGCACTCTGGGGAGCCCTGGAGGGTGGCTTAGGTCTCTGGGGACAAGGGACAGAGCCCGATGCTGGAACACTGTGGGCACGAGGTGGTCAGGGGGATGTGGGAGAAGCTGTAAAGCCTCTGTGGACTTCTTCATGGGAAGGGGCAGAGGGGACAGACCTCTCCCTCCCTACCATCACTTGGGGACACCATGTTCCCATCACCCCCCAGCCCATCCCCAGCTCCACTGTTCCCCCCACCCAACTACCTGCCCCTGGCTCTGTCTCTGCAGCCACTGTCATCCTCAATGAGCTGAACTGGACACAGGCGCTGGAGGATGTCTTCATTGAGAACCGGAACGAGGATCCCTCCCTGCTCTGGCAGGTCTTCGGCAGCGCCACCGGTGTCACCCGCTACTACCCTGGTGCGTGACAAGGGATGGTTGTGGGGCAGGGGACTGGCCAAGAGCAGCCTAGGCACTTCTCACTGGGAGATGCACATGAGCATCCCCCAGCACCAGCCCTAGGGGTCATCTGGTACACGTAACTACCCTGCCAAAACCCATTGGTGTGAGTTCCCTGCTGGAACCTGCTGCTTCCTCCACCCTGAACATCTCTCTGCCCTGTCCCCCATGTTCCCCTGTCCCCCACCCCAGGACAGCTCTGCCTTGGTCACCACCTGCTTTCTCCCCACAGCCACCCCATGGAGAGCTCCCAATAAGATTGACCTCTACGATGTGCGCCGACGGCCCTGGTAAGGGGGTCCTGGGTGGGGAGGGTGGTCCTGGCCTGGAGCAGCCAGCTCCTTCCCCTTTTCATTTCACAAGTGATTGGCATTGGCAAATGGACACAATAACACAGGCAGAGGCATCCGAGCTGCAGCTCTTGGCTCCCACTCCATACCCCTCTTCCTGGGAAAGCAGAACAGGATGGAGAAATAAATCCTTGGGTGCAGATGAAAGTGTGGAGAGCAGCCCCTCACTCTGTGCCCCCTCCCTGCAGTCATGGCACTCAGTCCTAGCTAGTATTCCCATCCAAATGGGAAAACAACCAGCTTGGAAACCTCACAGGAGGATGAAGAGAGGAATGGACAGGCAGCGCCAGGCTGTGGCTCACTGATAGCTGAGAAGCCATCTAGCCCACACCAAGTGAGGTGGGATTGAATGGACTCCCCTTAGCCCAGGCAGAGGTGGTGGCATGGCAGCACTGGTTATCAGCTTGGAGCTGGGGACGCTTCAGCCCCATCCTGCCCGCGCTCGCTGCCCAAAAGCACAGGCATGGAGAGGAGAGTGGGCACAGGTCTCTGGCACGTGCCCAGGGAGAACTGTATCCCAGGGGATTACCCCCTGCCCACAGCAGGAGCTGTCCCCTCTCCTTGTCAGAAAATTAATGGCCCTGCTACTATGGTTAATTGTCTTTGATTGCTCCACATTAATTATTAGCTGTTCCCCGACAGGGTGTCTCTGTGGGTTATTGCAGAGCGGAGACTGGAAGGCTATTTTGGGGGTGTTTCTGATATATATGGGACTATTGAGCCCTGTTAGCCCACCTCCCTGCTCACTATGCAGACTGGCCACCTGCTTGCCCACCCAGCCACGGAGGAGCAGCCGCATCTTTCATGCTGGGGGGGCAGCACGACCCTGGAGACACCTTTTCTGGGCCCTCACACCGGTGTCCAGTGCAGCGCATAGCCCTCACCGCTCTGAGGCCACAGTCCTGCCCACAGCCTCAGCAGGGCCACCAGCACCACTCACCTGCCTTCCCCTCCCTTGATGAATGGCACCATTAACCACAGCCATCTCCCACCGAGCCCGGGGTATCCATCTCAGCTGGGCAGCCAGAGATGGATGTGCTGCCACAACCCATTACAGGCAGCATCTTAGTTGGGCTCTGTGCTGTGCTGACAGCCCAGCCCCAGGAAGCAGGGCAGGCACCGAGCCCCCGACCCTGCCGGCGGGCAAGAGGCCCATGGGCAGCTGCCTGCCCATCCTGCACCCCAGCATGAGGGGAGGGTGTTAGGGGGATGTGGCACCCGAGTCGGGAGAGCCCCATGTGCCAGCATTCCGCAGCCAGCCTGGGTAATCGCTTGTAATTAGGTAACATCAGGACCTGGAATTAGCAATCAGATTCTGTCCCTTCCCCAGTCCTCCCCAGTAGTGATGAGTAATTGATACTAATAACACACTAATTAATTCACATAAGGCCTGATCCTGATCAAGCCAATAATGAGGCTCCTTTAGACCTCAGCCATGGCAGGATCAGACCCCATGCAATGGGATGGGGAGGCTGGGCTGTGCCTGGCCATGGCTGGGCTGGGCTGGGATGAGATGGGATGGGAAGAGAAGGCATGGGATGGGTGCTGAGCACCATGCCCAGTCCCCTACCACACATGGATGGCACATCAGGGCTGGGAGCAGGACTGGGTGCTTCGGGGGGGGAGGAAGGGTTCCCTAATTGTTTTCAGTGGGGAAGATTTACGTAGTATTATTATTTTTCCTCCTTGTAGCTAAAAATAACCTAATCAGCCTGGCCTTTGAAACTACCAGGGGGGTAAATAGCATCTTAATATGGATGTGTGTGTCAGCATAATCAGCACGCAGAAAAGGGCCCTGTGATGATGGAAGAGTTTAGCATTTAGAACTCATTAGGCTGAAACAGTATGGAGTTGCAGGTCGCTGGCCGTCTGCTGTGCCATGCCACACCAAGGCACCTCCTCACCTCCACCTTCCCACTGCCACCTTGTCCCTGCTCCTCATCACAGGGTCACCACAGCCACAGGTGTGCAGGCACTCTCAGCATAGCCCCCCGGCTGCCTGCACCCTGGTAGAGCTTTGCTCTTAGGCTGCACCCAGCAAGGGTCAGGGTTCCCCCCACAAATAAGTTCACCTCTCTGAACCCCCTCTGTATCCCACAGGTACATCCAAGGTGCTTCCTCCCCAAAGGACATGGTCATCATTGTGGATGTGTGAGTACATGGTGGGGGCCATGGCTGGTGTCACAGCTTTCCAAGGTGCCACTGTCTCACCAGTGGCCCCAGGAAAGCTGCGTGGGACAGTGCTGGCAGGGAGTCCTATGCCCCCTCATTGCCAAGACCCCAGCATTTCTGTCTCCTGCCAGGAGTGGCAGCGTGAGTGGCCTCACCCTCAAGCTGATGAAGACCTCAGTCTATGAGATGCTGGACACCCTCTCAGATGATGACTATGTCAATGTGGCCTCGGTGAGTGCTGCAGGGTGAGCAATAGCACTGTGCCCCCCAGGAAGCTCTCAGCTCCTTACCACAGGGGCCCTTTGCCCTCAGACCCACCTGACTAAGGGCTCTGCAGAGAGAAATACCATTTTTTGTCTTCTTAACCACCCACCTGCACATAAGCAAGGAAATGGCTGCTTAGGGCTTGTCACAATGGCAAACAAAAGCTGCCCCCATCACAGGGCATTTGACAGAGATGCTCCCAGGGCAATCTCAGCCAGCCACCTCCTGTCTGTCACCAGCCAGTGACATCCTGCACCCCATGGCTATGTCACCAGCTCATGACCTCACACAGCACAGTGGCTCTGCCACCACATCTGTGTGTCGCTGGGTGCCCAGCTCGTGTCAGCTCTCCCCTGTCTGGCCACCAGCACGCCAGCGCTAATTAACGTGTCTGGCCTGGCTCTGTTAGCTGGATCGCTGCTCCCCTAATGAATGGGCCCAACTGCCAGCAAATGAAGCTGTAAGTGAGAGGCAGCACCTGCTCCTAATGACGGCACAGTGTGGTGCAGCACTGGCTGCTCGCACAAGTCCAGGGGTGTCCCACAGAAGTGAGGATGTAGGCAAGCCCTGCACTGGCAAAACCCACTAGCAGCACTCACCCTTGGCAACTCACTGATGGATTTGGCCCAAGCTAAATTTCAGTCTCAGCATCAGCCCTCCCTGGGATGTGGGATACAGGATGCTCCAGCCACCTGCTACCCATGGAAGCTGTGTGTGGTAGGTGGCTTGTGCCTGCTGGGGTCTACCCGTGTCTCCTTTCTGTGACCCACTCCCCTCCATTTCACTTCCCAGTTCAATGAGAAGGCAAAGCCAGTGTCTTGCTTCAAGCACCTGGTGCAGGCCAACATCCGAAACAAGAAGGTCTTCAAGGAGGATGTGCAGGGGATGGTGGCCAAGGGCACGACTGACTACAAGGCTGGCTTTGAATATGCCTTCGACCAGCTGCAGAACGTGAGCCGGGGGCTGGGCTGGGGACTGGTGGTCAGAGTGCACCCATGGGTGCTGGGGGCAATGGGAGAGCTCCCAAGTATTCAGCTGCTGCCCTGTGCCTGGGGCTTCAGTGTGCAAAAGGCTCCTTGTCAGTACTGGGGAAGACATCTCACTTCCCAGCATGCTGTAGCTGAGGTTTTGCTAGAGCTGCTGCCTGTCTGTGTCATTCAGAGTTAGCAGGGCTGGGCAGAGGGGCCAGATCCAGCCAGAAGACATGCCAGAGGCAAAATAAAGATGCATAGTGCTATTAGGTGTGAGCAGCAATAACCACAACATCAAATCCCCAGCTGACAGATTCCCTCCTCCTGCCCATTCACCCTGGCACCCTCACCCCAGCAAAATGGGCTGGGAAAAGAGATGGGTCGGGGCCAGCCCTCCTGGCACATCCAGCCCTGTGCCCAGCACTGCTGGCTGTGGGTCCAGCCTCAGGTGCTGTCTCTGCCCTGCAGTCCAACATCACACGTGCCAACTGCAACAAGATGATCATGATGTTCACGGACGGCGGTGAGGACCGGGTGCAGGACGTCTTTGAGAAGTACAACTGGCCCAATAAGACGGTGAGGGGCTGTAGAGTCGTGTGCCAGGCTGGAGCTGCTCACCAGGGAGGAAGAGGGCTGCTTCAGCTCCATTACTGGCTTCTACCTCATTTGCTTTCCTGCCTTCTTCTTTCCCTGCCACCCTGCTCCTGAACCAAGCCACTGCCCCAGTAATGGGGTGGCTGACACTCTGGTGCCATTGATAACTGGCTCCCACTTTGGTGTGTGGGAGGCATGGAACCAGGAACCCCACAGGCTTCCAGGGTGGGAATGGGGCTGGTGAGCTCCCTGAATGCTGGCCCAGGGTAAGTATACCCCGAGCATGGGGACAGGACTGCTGGCTGGCAGACAAAAGGGCAGGAGGGTCCCCATTGCCACCCAGTACCTGGAGCCCCATGGTGTGGGGGAGTTCTGGTCCATGTAGCACCCTTGAAGAGCACAGATCTGTCTGGGAGCAGTGATGACCCAGCACAAGGACCACTGCAGTAGGTGGCTTGATGCTGGGGGACCAGACTGTCTGGGGGCCAGGCAAGGAGAGGGGGTTTGCTTGCTGCCAGCACAGCCAGCATTGACAGGACCTTCTGCCTTTGGCTGTGGTCAGGCAGCACAGTCTGTGGGCCTGGCATGCAATGCCATGCAGTCCTCGGGGATGTTGCCGTTGGCTGGGAGCACTAGGTGTGGAGGAGCAGGGTGCCCAGCAGATGGCCCTCATCACCATGCTCTGCCACAGGTGCGAGTCTTCACCTTCTCCGTCGGGCAGCACAACTACGACGTGACCCCACTGCAGTGGATGGCCTGTGCCAACAAAGGTGAGCAGGACTGGCATGCAATAGGCATGGGGAGGCTGCAGAATGCTGGACTCATCCCTCTGCTCCAGCACCTGCTGCTACCAGCAAAGCACTGGCTGCAATTCTGGAGGGCTGGACAGCAGGACAACCGGATCTCCAGCTGCCTTTCTCTTTCTTTTCCAAGGTTATTACTTCGAAATCCCCTCTATTGGCGCCATCCGCATCAACACGCAGGTATGGTGGGGAGGGGCAGGTAGGGAGCAGGAGGCAGAGCTGTGCCCCTAAGGTGCCCTGCCTGGGCACAAGTTCAGGCAGCCCCAGCCCCACTGCAGAGAGCCTGAGGGCTGGCAGCAAGCATGGCAGCGAGCTGGGGAGCTGAGCAGAGGCCTCAGCTAGGCCCTGCGCTGTTGAAATAAGTAGTTCATCTTCTGCAGCTCCCCATGGACCTGCTGCCTTCTGAGTGACTAATTATGAAACATCAGGCGTTAATCAGCACAGAGCAGAGTTGAGTGCAGACTGAACGCAAGCAGAAGCAGGGCC